TATATATATATATATATATATATATATATATATATATATATATATAGAGAGAGAGAGAGAGAGAGACTCGATGAACACCGCGCCACCAACTCGGCATGCAAATTTCGGGTAGTTAATGCTGATAAAAGAGAATGTAAGGTAAATTCGAATTTCAAAAATCTTACTGTTTTTTTTTCTTTTAATTCTATACTGTTTTTTTCAATTCAAAATTTTATCTAATTTTTCAATTAATATAAATACCATTGACTACCTTATTTTATACCACACTATAATCTTCCATTATTCACAAAAAAATCATAATATTTATTAAAAAATGGCTTCCCCTTCCGATAAAAAACTCCAAAAACTAGCAAGAAAAACACCCAAAACACAAACTCATTCTCACCTTCATCAGATACATTCATATAAAATCAAACTGATCCCTCTATTTATTCACATCCTAGTTACCATTATCACGGTACATACTATACATATCCTATATATCCAAACCCAACCACAATTCAAATCTCTATCTCAATCTCAATCACAACCCAGTTTCAATTTCAATCTCAAGTGCAATCCGTAATGGAAAATGAGTTCAACCCATTTGACCACCTTCTCGAATCGCAATTCCAATTCAAATGCAAACCCAAACCCAAACTCAAACCTAATTGGTAAATCATTCATAACCCGAAGTCGTACCCGAAACGGATTCCAAGCCGAAAGAGATTGATGTTAACCGGGACCCAAGAAAAAAGGAAAGACACCTTCCAAACAGTGGACACCGGAGGAAGAAACAATGTTGGGTCGTGCGTGGGTCAATATTTTGGAAGACTCAAAGGTCGGGAAAGACCAAGATGCGCCTACTTTTTTCTGGAAAATTACTAGGCGTTTTCTCGCGTAAATGAAGCTTGAAAATTACTAGGCGTTTACTCGAAGTGGAGGAACGTCAACAAAGTTGTCATGGAGTTTAAAACAATATTTTCGAACGTGAAGTGACAATGGAAAAGTGGTGTAAACGATGAAACAATCTTGCAAAAGGCTTTAGCACTTAATGGAAGTGATAAGGGGAACTCTTTCAATTTTCTTAATGTTTGGAACGTTGTGAAGATGTCGAAAAAAGTGACAAGATATCCAAAACTTCATAATCGTTCACGGATGGTTCCAAGATATCCAAAACATCCGAAACCACTCATAGCCAATTGTCGGATGCGCAATGTTTGGATTGACCTCCACTACGATGGGCTTATTGAGGTTCCAAGCTTATGCACATGACACTATTAGGATATAACGAGGTTTAGAATGGTGCAGATTATGGTCGGTTTAACAACGAGGATAAAAGTGTCATCACAATCGATTTTTGATGGTTGACTTTTCCCATTTGCAACGATTCGAGATTTTTACATGCTAAGAGTTCAATCAATATTAATTTTGTGTTTAAAGAACCACACAGAGTGAACAATGTTGACCCCGACAGATCGAGGTTTGAAAGTTCGCGTATATTTTAAATAAGCGCCCTAAATTCATCATGCAAATAAATTTTTAATTGGGGTTAAGAATGGATTGAACGGGAGTTTTGGGATGTTTCAGAGAGCATAAGTGTGAGGATTTAGTATGTGGATAGTTTTAACGATAGTGAGGTGTGATCAAGTCATCATTGGGTGAGAATGTGAGGGGGCTGTCAAGCTACTGAATACAGGAAATGGGGGATGCTTGTGACCCTGATGAGGAGCCGATGGTGGAACCGACAATAGGTGACGGTGGAGCTGCTATTGGGGTAGTCGGTGCCAAAATCGTGGCAGGGAGAGAATGGAGAGTCCGAATATAGAGTGTTACTAAGAGGAACAATATGTGTAGTGTATAAAGGGAGAGAATGGAGAGTCCGAATATAGAAAGTGGGTGACAAGATGATTTGACTCAAATTTGAGTAGTGTATAAAGTTGGGTTATGAGGAGTCATGGATACATATGGAAAAACTTGCTTATTAAAAGTAACATTATACGAAAGATAATTTTTTTATTATGAAGGTCAAACAACGAAAGCCTTGGTGATTATCAGGATACCCAAAGAAACTACATGGGATGGATCAGTGAGTGAGTTTGTATTGAGTGAAAAATCAGATAACATAAGCATCTGATGATACATAGATAGTCTGTAACGCCCGCAAATTTGGGCTAGTCAATTTAGAGACAATAAACGTCAAAAATGACTTTTTTGATAGAAAACTGTTTAGAATAAATAATCTTAACCAATTTATAGTATATGTCACAAGGGTTCCATACATATAAAGAACACTGAAATCCGAGTTATAACGAAGAACCTATGACCTATCAAAATTTTACGGCAAAACCGGCACGACACCGGGAATCGTAAAAAGTGAGTTTGCGATAAAATACTTTTTATCCTTAGAGATCTAAACAAAAGTCATAGTATACGTTAAACCGAGAGCGTACATAAGAAGAACGTCAAAATCTGACTTCGTATGAGGAAGTTGTGATTTTTCTAAGATTTAACATAGTAGTGCACAACTCGGAATTCGAATTTTAGATCAATCGATTTTTAACCGACACAATCTAAACGAGAATTGAAGATCTCGTTAATAAGAACTCAACGATATAAAGACAGACGAAAACGGACGTCGGATGACAAAGTTATGAATTTTTAACGGACTTTACCTGTCTAAGCGTGTTAAAATATAACTTTAAAAGTAAAGTCAAAATTAGCCGACGGAGTCTAAACGAAAGTTGTAGATTATGTCGCCACCTACGCATGGATATAAAGAACGTCGAAAACCGAACTCGTATGCAAAGGTTATAGAATTTAGAATTCGGGAATGAGCTGATGCGAAGAGGGTGACGTGGCCGAATCTCGGCCATTGCTTGCTCCCCACGGACTTCGCTTCGGATCGCAGCATGTGTCCCCTCGTATGCGGAGTGTAGCCCTCTAACGCTCAGCATATCGGGTATGTGCAGCGTAGCTCTGAGGAACGCCCAACGTAACCGAGGGCCAGCCCCTATAAAAAGGATGCGAGGGCACCCACAATTCTTCACACCTTAACCTTTTTTCTCTCTCAAATTTCTCTCTAAACCCCTCCCAACCCTTAGTACTTCCCAAGTGCTAAGAGGCGAATCCCGGAGCGCCAGAAGGCTCCGAGAAGAAGAGCTTTCGGCTCGGAAGTTCTGCCCACGTAAAACCCGGTTCCTAGCCAAACCTCCTAGTAAGTGAGTTATGCTTACCCTACTTTAAGTATAGCTTATGTTTAAGTTCAATTTCGATATTACGAACTTATAAACAATATATATATATATATATATATATATATATATATATATATATAGATTATAAAATATAATATACAAAGTGTTATTATAATATCTTTCAACTACTCGCGGTACGGGGAATCTGGTCCTGCCCTCCGGTGTTTCATGTCTGGCCCATGTCTGTACATAGTGGTTGAAAAGTATTGTTTAACACTAATAAAACAATATCGCTCGTAAATAGTCGCTATAAAAACTACACTAAAATCTAGCGGTAGTGATGCTAGGTTTCGCTAAAGGAAAATAGAATTGTTAAAAGCGAAGCGCTGCCCGAGTTTGGAATCATCACTTTAGCAAGTGAGTGCATAGTCCCTTTCATGAACATAATTTTAATACAAGTATTGATTAAAGTATTAAATATATGTTTGTGTGTGAAATATTTGTTATTGCCTGAAATATGTGGTAAGAGCATATATGATAATTTAGGATACAGAATAAACCTAAATTAATTGAGATGAATATCGGGTAGTATCTCCTTATGAGTACGGGTGAGATATACACGGAGGGTCGAACTTTAAAATTTGTCATTAATCTGAGAGCATGGATTAGACATAGTCATTCGTCCCTAGTCCGAGAGTATGGATTGGGTATAGTCATTTTTCATTGATCCGAGAGCATGGATTTGACATACCTGATCCGGGAGTATGGATTAGGTAAATCCATTAATTTTAGATCCGAGAGTGTGGATTCGTATCGTTGTGAGGATCGACGGGGTGGGGTAAAATTGCTTATATGAGGTGAAATTGTATATATTGTGAGTTATAAAAAATATATATGATATAACATTGTGGTATTGAAATTCTCT